TCTCCTTAGATTCAGAACTATTTTATGACTATTATTAAAAAAATCCACCTCTCTAAGATTCTGCAATCAATTGTCTCGAATCACTCCTAGGGGAATATTGGTGATTAGCGTTAATAGCACTTGTATTGAGTTCAGCTCAAAGAAAAATCGGAAGGGATTTCTTAGGATGTTAAGACTTCAAGACATTTACTTGCGCCTTTGGATTGGGTCTAATTAAGTCAAATATCTGGATTTCAAAACTGCGTTCGCATAGATAATGCTAACAAGTGAAATTGCAAGCTTTAAATTAAGAAGTTCTATGTTTTTTACGGGGGGGGGGGGACTTTTCGATCTTGTAACATGGGAAGAAATTCTGTGGATTTTCTCCGGCAAAGTCATACAGATGATCCACTTTTGCAATAGTTTTCTTGTACTTTGAAAGATATCAAAAAAAAAAAAAGATTGCATCACACTCCGGTTGAATCACGCTTACCATCATTTTATAATGTATAATGTTAGATGCACTTACCACTTATTTCATTACCATGTATCAATTATAATGAATGCATTTATGTTGGTAGTTTGAGTGTAAGAGCAAAGTCATACAGATGATTAACTTTTGCAATAGTTTTCTTCAACTTCGAAAGATATCAAAAAAATTGCTAAAAGCTATTTTTGAATCACGCTAATATTTCAGAATGAGGTGAGGTGGTAACAGAAAAGTTCCCTTCACAAGTACAAGCCGCCAGCTAGAAACAGAAGTTAATCTTTCAATGGAATGTTGAAAAAACGATGACTCTAATCGATGTAGAATCAACAATAAATTAAAGACTTGAACGAAATATTATTGCACTTCCCGTCTGCAATTAGAAAAATGTATAACAAGTATATCTGTTGCTGATTTCAAAGTTCTAGGACATTTTAGGGATTCAATTCTTGAATACCTATATTCATTTTATATTATGTAATATAAGATGCACATACCACTAATCACCACGTATCAACCATGTAGTATCCATGTATTTTGTAAGTTTGGTCTCTTCACAGGAACTTGCCTCTCCTAAGCAAAAAAAAAAAAAAAAAAAAATAATTTTTAAGTGGATCGTAACGAAAGGTGATTGTATCGATATAGAATCTACATTAGATTTAAGATACTTTAGACGAAGAAGATTTTTTTTGAACGAAGTTTCAATATATTTCTTGTCTACAATTGGAAGAATGTACTACATGTATCATATCTTGAAGTTGCTGAGAACAATGTTCTTAGACACTTTACTGGTCCAGTTTTGGAATACCTACCTTCATTTTGATAATGTGTAACATTGAATGCACATACCATTTATTTTACCACCATGTATCAATCATGAAGTATACATGTATTTTGCTAGTTTGAGTGGGAACGCAAAGCCATACAGATGATTCACTTTTGCAATGATTTTCTTGAACTTCGAAAGATATATAAAATTTGCTAAAAGCTATTTCATAATCTTGTTTATAGTTTAGAATGAGGTGAGATCGAAACAGAAGAGGTCTCTTCACAGGAACTTGCCGTCTCCTAAGCAAGAAATAAATATAATTTTTAAGTGGATCGTTACGAAAGGTGATTCTTATCGATTTAGAATCTACAATAGATTTAAGATACCTTAGACGAAGGATTATTTTGGACGAAGTTTCAATGTACTTCTTGTCTACAATTGGAAGAATGTACTTCATGTATCATATCTTGAGGTTGCTGAGAACAATGTTCTAAGGCACTTACTGGTCCAGTTTTGGAATACCTACCTTCATTTTGATATTGTATAACATTGGATACACATTCCACTTATTTTATCACCATGTATCAACATAAAGCATATACATGTATTTTGCTAGTTTGAGTGTAAGTGCAAAGTCATACAGATTATTCATTTTTGCAGTAATTTTCTTGAACTTGGAAAGATATATAAAATTTGATAAAAGCTGTGTTATAATCTTGTTTATAGTTCAGAAGGAGCTGAGATGGAAACAAAGCAGTTTTCTTTACAAGTACCAGCCGCCCCTTCAGCTAGATATAGAAGATAACCTTTCAATGAAATGTTGAAAAAGATGACTCTTATCGATATGGAATCAACAATAGATTAAAGACTTGATGGAAATATGAATGCACTACCCGTCTGCAATTAGAAAAATGTACAACATGTATCATATCATGCTGTTGCTGACTTCAAAGTTCTAGGACATTTTAGTGAATTAATTTTTGAATACCTATATTCATTTTATATTGTGTAATATAAGATGCACAAACCACTGATTTAATCACCAGATATCAACCAAAAAGTATCCATATATTTTGCTAGTTTGAGTGTAGGATGTTCCACTTTTGGAATATTTTCTTGAACATCGAAAATTATATATATCATTTGTTAAAAGCTTTGTTATTATGTTGTTTATAGTTCAGAATAAGGTGGTATGGTAACGGAAAGGGTCTTTTCACAAGAACTAGCCGTCTCCTTAATTAAAAATAGAAGATAATTTTTAGTGGATTGTAAAGATAAGTGATTGTAATCGACATAGAATGTACCAAATATTTGCCATACTTTTACAGAAGGATTTTTTACACAAAAATTTCAATTCACTCTCTGTCTGCAATTAGACGAATGTACTACATGTATCATATCTTATAGTTGCTGAGTACCTAGTTTTAAGGGACTTAACTGATCCAGTTTTGGAATTCCTACCTTCATTTTTATAATGTATAAAATTAAATGCACATGGCAGTGATTTCATTACCATGTATTAACTATGAAGTATCCAAAGATTTTTGCAAGTTTGAATGTAAGAGAAAAAACGTACAGATGATCCACTATTGTCATAGTTTTCTTGAACTTCGAAAGATGGCTAAAAGCTATATTATAATCAAGCTTATATTTCACATTAAGGTCAGATAAGAACTTATGATCCACTTTTGGAAAAGTTTTCTTGAACGTCGAAAAAATAAACATATAATTTGCTTAAAGAAATTTTATCAAAAATTTTTAATAGTTCAGAATGAGGTGAGATGGTAACAAAAGAGGTCTATTCATAAGAACTAGCCGTCTGCTAAGAAGAGATGGAAATTATTTTTTCAGTGGATTGTAAAGAAAGGTAATTGTAATCGATATAGAAGGTAGGAAACATTTGCCATACTTTGAAAGAAGGCTTTTTTCACAAAATTTCAATACACTTCCTCACTGCAATTAGACGATAAATTTTCTGCTAAATTCTATCATCTTTCTCAAAGAAAAGAAATCCATAACAAGTTCTTCAATTCTACATACATCAAATGTTATGGGTAATAAGAGGAATGGTATGCATTTCTAAACTAGTATACCTCTCAAGGATAAGACAGACAGCTAAAGGAACAAATGTGCTTAAACTTCTAGGTAACTTCAAGCACGAATAATAATAATATCCAATCGTTTTTGTCTATCCAAAAGTGTGTGCCTTTCATATGTATACCAATGTTAAATATTGATATGATCACTCGCACCTAAGCAAACTGTAAGTAATGTATTTTCAATTTTTGTACAGTAGGAGAAAAGTATTCCACAAGTGGATCATCTGTCATTATTTAGCGCAACTGTCTACAGGTGCTAAAGACATGATTTTTTTTTTTTCAAAAATGCGATGAAGAAATGAAGAATGTATTGTCATAGATTGTTAAGGACTCCAGAATCAGGTTTTGATCCTGCACAGCCTTTTTCTAATATTTCCAATTTTCCGCTGAACCCTATCATCCTTCTCTAAGAAAAGAAAGTAGCAAAAATTGCTTCTTCAATTCTACACACATCAAATGTTACATGTAAAAGAGGGATGGTATGTACTCCAAAACTACATCATTTCAATATGCTAGGAAAATACAGACAGCAATAGAAACAAATGTTGTGCTTTCTCTTGCAGATAACTTCTAGTACATGTGAGAATAACATTAAATCTTTTTCTGTCTTATTACGTATAGCATTTGATTCTTCATCGCGTTTTTGATTATTAAAAATCCATAAATGTTGCACCTGTGGACAGTTACGCTTTATAATATACAGATGATCCACTTGTGAAATAGTTTTCTCCTACTGTACAAAAAATGAAAATACATTCCTTAAAGTTTCCCAAAGGTTCCATTTGATCACATTGATATTTCCCATTGGTATACCTAAAAAATGAACACATTTCTGGACAGAAAAAAATGATTGAATGTCTTATCCTTGGATTTTGAGGTGTACTAGTCTGGAAATACATACCAGTCTTTTTGATGCCTGTTGAACTAAAGAATCTGTTATGGCAATATTTTCTTCGAAAAGATGATAGAGTTAAGTAGGAAATTTTAAAGTATTAGAAAAAGACTGTGCAGGTTGAAACCGAAGATTCCATTCAATCACAATAAGATTTATTTTTTATATGAACATAAAAGGAAGAATCTATTTTTATGAAACGATTTTTATTTTTTGCTCAGTAGGGGAAAACTATTCCAAAAGTGGATCATCTGGTTATTATTTAGAACAACTGTTTACAGTTCCGAAATTTTAAGCGTTAATAATCAAAAAGACGATGAAGAATTGATAGAAGTATTGTGATAGGCTGTCAAGGAACTGTTAAAGCAGTTCTTCTACATACAAATCCTCTTTCTAATATATTTAATTTTCTGCTAAATTCTATCATCTTTCTCGAAGAAAAGAATTCCATAACAGATTCTTCAATTCTACATACATCAAATGTTATGGGTAATAAAAGGAATGGTATGCAATTCTAAACTAGTATACCTCTCAAGGATAAGACAGACAGCTAAAGGAACAAATGCTGTGCTTAAACTTCTAGGTAACTTCAAGCACGAATAATAATAATATCCAATCGTTTTTGTCTATCCAAAAGTGTGTGCCTTTCATATGTATACCAATGTTAAATATTGATATGATCACTCGCACCTAAGCAAACTGTAAGTAAATCAACAGACGAAAAGTACTCTATCCTAAAAAGAAACTTATCCTGTTTTTGTCAAATATGTGTAGATAACACATCAGATGCAAGTTCTCAGTGTGAAAATTCTGAACTTGTTGATCCATGGACTACACAAGAATTACAAGTAAAGAATAGAGGTGGAAGAGAAATGAGGAATGGAGGAAGAGGAGTAAGGACTAGAGGAGTAGAAAGAGGAGCAAGGACCAGAGGATAAGAAAGAGGGGTAAGGACTAGAGGAGTAGAAAGAGGGGTAAGGACTAGAGGAGTAGAAAGAGGGGTAAGGACTAGAGGAGTAGAAAGAGGGGTAAGGACTAGAGGAGTAGAAAGAGGGGTAAGGACTAGAGGAGTAGAAAGAGGAGTAAGGACTAGGGGAGTAGAAAGAGGAACAAGGACCAGAGGCATAGAAAGAGGGGTAAGGACTAGAGGAGTAGAAAGAGGGGCAAGGACCAGAAGAGTAGAAAGAGGAGTAAGGACTAGAGGAGTAGAAAGAGGAATAAGGACTAGAGGAGTAGAAAGAGGAGCAAGGACCAGAGGCATAGAAAGAGGACCAAGGACTAGCGGAGTAGAAAGAGGAGTAAGGACTAGAGGAGTAGAAAGAGGAGCAAGGACCAGAGGATTAGAAAGAGGAACAAGGACCAGAGGATTAGAAAGAGGAACAAGGACTAGAGGAGTAGAAAGAGGAGTAAGGACTAGAGGAGTAGAAAGAGGAGAAAGAACCAGAGGAGTAGAAAGAGGAGTAGGGACTAGAGGAGTAGAAAGAGGAGCAAGGACCAGAGGAGTAGAAAGAGGGGTAAGGACTAGAGGAGTAGAAAGAGGAGCAAGGACCAGAAGAGTAGAAAGAGGAGTAAGGACTAGAGGAGTAGAAAGAGGAATAAGGACTAGGGGAGTAGAAAGAGGAGCAAGGACCAGAGGCATAGAAAGAGGACCAAGGACTAGCGGAGTAGAAAGAGGAGTAAGGACTAGAGGAGTAGAAAGAGGAGTAAGGACTAGAGGAGTAGAAAGAGGAACAAGGACCAGAGGCATAGAAAGAGGAGTAAGGACTAGAGGAGTAGAAAGAGGAACAAGGACCAGAGGCATAGAAAGAGGGGTAAGGACTAGAGGAGTAGAAAGAGGAGAAAGAACCAGAGGAGTAGAAAGAGGAGTAGGGACTAGAGGAGTAGAAAGAGGAGCAAGGACCAGAGGAGTAGAAAGAGGGGTAAGGACTAGAGGAGCAGAAAGAGGAGCAAGGACCAGAGGAGTAGAAAGAGGAGCAAGGACCAGAGGAGTAGAAAGAGGGGTAAGGACTAGAGGAGTAGAAAGAGGAGTAGGGACTAGAGGAGTAGAAAGAGGAGCAAGGACCAGAGGAGTAGAAAGAGGGGTAAGGACTAGAGGAGTAGAAAGAGGAGTAGGGACTAGAGGAGTAGAAAGAGGAGCAAGGACCAGAGGAGTAGAAAGAGGGGTAAGGACTAGAGGAGTAGAAAGAGGAGCAAGGACCAGAAGAGTAGAAAGAGGAGTAAGAACTAGAGGAGTAGAAAGAGGAATAAGGACTAGGGGAGTAGAAAGAGGAGCAAGGAACAGAGGCATAGAAAGAGGAGCAAGGACCAGAGGAGTAGAAAGAGGAGTAAGGACTAGAGGAGTAGAAAGAGGAGTAAGGACTAGGGGAGTAGAAAGAGGAGCAAGGACCAGAGGATTAGAAAGAGGAGTAAGGACTAGAGGAGTAGAAAGAGGAGTAAGGACTAGGGGAGTAGAAAGAGGAGCAAGGAACAGAGGCATAGAAAGAGGGGTAAGGACTAGAGGATTAGAAAGAGGAGCAAGGAACAGAGGCATAGAAAGAGGAGCAAGGACCAGAGGAGTAGAAAGAGGAGTAAGGACTAGAGGAGTAGAAAGAGGAGTAAGGACTAGGGGAGTAGAAAGAGGAGCAAGGAACAGAGGATTAGAAAGAGGGGTAAGGACTAGAGGAGTAGAAAGAGGAGTAAGGACTAGAGGAGTAGAAAGAGGAGTAAGGACTAGAGGAATAGAAAGAGGGGTAAGGACTAGAGGAGTAGAAAGAGGGGTAAGGACTAGAGGAGTAGAAAGAGGGGTAAGGACTAGAGGAGTAGAAAGAGGGGTAAGGACTAGAGGAGTAGAAAAAGGAACAAGGACCAGAGGCATAGAAAGAGGGGTAAGGACTAGAGGAGTAGAAAGAGGAGCATGGACCAGAGGAGTAGAAAGAGGAGTAAGGACTGGAGGAGTAGAAAGAGGAGTAAGGACTAGGGGAGTAGAAAGAGGAACAAGGACCAGAGGCATAGAAAGAGGGGTAAGGACTAAAGGGGTAGAAAGAGGAGCAAGGACCAGAGGAGTAGAAAGAGGAGTAAGGACTAGGGGAGTAGAAAGAGGAGCAAGGACCAGAGGCATAGAAAGAGGACCAAGGACTAGAGGAGTAGAAAGAGGAGTACGGACTAGAGGAGTAGAAAGAGGAGCAAGGACCAGAGGATTAGAAAGAGGAACAAGGACCAGAGGAGTAGAAAGAGGAACAAGGACTAGAGGAGTAGAAAGAGGAGTAAGGACTAGAGGAGTAGAAAGAGGAGCAAGGACCAGAGGATTAGAAAGAGGAACAAGGACTAGAGGAGTAGAAAGAGGAGTAAGGACTAGAGGAGTAGAAAGAGGAGCAAAGACCAGAGGATTAGAAAGAGGAACAAGGACCAGAGAAGTAGAAAGAGGGGTAAGGACTAGAGGAGTAGAAAGAGGAGTAAGGACTAGAGGAGTAGAAAGAGGAACAAGGACCAGAGGCATAGAAAGAGGGGTAAGGACTAGAGGAGTAGAAAGAGGAGCAAGGACCAGAGGAGTAGAAAGAGGAGTAAGGACTAGGGGAGTAGAAAGAGGAACAAGGACCATTGGCATAGAAAGAGGGGTAAGGACTAGAGGAGAAGAAAGAGGAGCAAGGACTAGAGGAGTAGAAAGAGGAACAAGGACCAGAGGATTAGAAAGAAGAACAAGGACCAGAGGCATAGAAAGAGGACCAAGGACTAGCGGAGTAGAAAGAGGAGTAAGGACTAGAGGAGTAGAAAGAGGAGCAAGGACCAGAGGATTAGAAAGAGGAACAAGGACCAGAGGAGTAGAAAGAGGAACAAGGACTAGAGGAGTAGAAAGAGGAGTAAGGACTAGAGGAGTAGAAAGAGGAGCAAGGACCAGAGGCATAGAAAGAGGACCAAGGACTAGCGGAGTAGAAAGAGGAGTAAGGACTAGAGGAGTAGAAAGAGGAGCAAGGACCAGAGGAGTAGAAAGAGGAGCAAGGACCAGAGGATTAGAAAGAGGAACAAGGACTAGAGGATTAGAAAGAGGAACAAGGACCAGAGGATTAGAAAGAGGAACAAGGACTAGAGGAGTAGAAAGAGGAGTAAGGACTAGAGGAGTAGAAAGAGGGGTAAGGACTAGAGGAGTAGAAAGAGGGGTAAGGACTAGAGGAGTAGAAAGAGGAGTAAGGACTAGGGGAGTAGAAAGAGGAACAAGGACCAGAGGCATAGAAAGAGGGGTAAGGACTAGAGGAGTAGAAAGAGGAGCAAGGACCAGAAGAGTAGAAAGAGGAACAAGGACCAGAGGCATAGAAAGAGGGGTAAGGACTAGAGGAGTAGAAAGAGGAGCAAGGACCAGAAGAGTAGAAAGAGGAACAAGGACCAGAGGATTAGAAAGAGGAACAAGGACTAGAGGAGTAGAAAGGGGAGTAAGGACTAGAGGAGTAGAAAGAGAAGCAAGGACCAGAGGATTAGAAAGAGGAACAAGGAACAGAGGATTAGAAAGAGGAACAAGGACTTGAGGAGTAGAAAGAGGAGTAAGGACTAGAGGAGTAGAAAGAGGAGAAAGAACCAGAGGAGTAGAAAGAGGAGTAGGGACTAGAGGAGTAGAAAGAGGAGCAATGACCAGAGGAGGTACAAGTAGAGGAGCAAGGATTAGAGGAGGAAGAAGAGGAACAAGGACTAGAGTAGAGACAAGATATAGTTCAGAAAGTGAAGAATCGTTTGTAGAAGGTGAGTTAACATTTATCTGTTGACATTATATATATATGCAAAAACTATTGCACACAATTTAGCTGAAATGGGAATTGTTTTCAAATGCATTTTGTATTTATTCTAGATTCTGAGGTTTCCAATCATTTTTCCTTTCAGTCAAGTCCTTTCAGCAATAGTGCTTCTGTGCAGCAAGACAGGTATGTGCTAGTCTTTTAAGCAAATAAAAAAAAAAATGAATATTTTGTTCAGCTTCTGCTTTGTTTGTATGGCCTTATATTAATATGCATGTATTTTGTAAATAGTTCTCAGCTCTTGTTTAAGGGCATTAACTACATATTTACATTGACATTATGTGAATTGATTTGTTTTCTAGTGATGACAGTGATGAGGATATTTTACAGAATATCTCCGGACTCTCTGCCATAATTGCTTCTCTTGACAAGGTAAACAGAAATATTGCTGACTAACTCATTGCTTCTCATGTAAATATTACGAGCAATAGTTCCAAATCAGTTTACGCCAATTCAGTTAATCCATAGATTAATATTTTCTGATGACATAGAACCTTTCATTTCGTTTTTCAGGATGATGGCTCTCTAACTCCAGTCCTATTAAATGAGACTACCCCACTATTTGTACAGGAATATATTCCTGATCTTCCTGTTCAGGAACATGTTGAAAATGTCTTCCCTGTCCAGGAGCAAATGGATTGGGAACCTATCCTCCCTGTGGTAAAGGATCCTGTCCTTCATGTTGTAGAGGAACCTGTCAATCCTATGGTAGAGGAACCTGTCCTCCCTATGGTAGAGGAACCTATCCTCGAACCTGTCTTCCCTGTGGTAGAGGAACCTTTTAACCCTATTGTAGAGGAACATGTCCTCCCTATGATAGAGGAACCTATCCTCCCTGTGGTAGAAGAATATGCCCTCCCTATAATAGAGGAACATGTTAACCCTGTGGTAGAGGAACTTGTCCTCCATATGGTAGAAAAACCTGTCCTTCCTATAATAGAGGAACCTGTTAACCCTGTGGTAGAGGAGACTGTCCTCCCTATGGTAGAAAAACCTGTCCTTCCTATAATAGAGGAACCTGTTAATCATGTAGTAGAGGAGCCTGTCCTCCCTATGGTAGAAAAACCTGTTAAACCTGTAGTAGAGGAGCCTGTCCTCTCTATGGTAGAGGAACCTGTTAACCCTGTTGCAGAGGAACCTGTCCTCCCTGTGGTAAAGGAACATGTTCTCTCTAAATCAAAGAAAAGGTAATGATATTAACTTGTTTGATAACAGGCATTGCACAGAAACAAATATGTTATCACCTGCAATACAAATAAAGATTAATCCATTTATTCTAGTTACAATCCTGGGTAATATATTCTGGTTGAGCATGGTTTAAATTTGATTCCTGCTGTGTTAAAAAATCCATTCCTGTTCTGAAACTTGTTAGAATTCATATTTTTCAACTTTATATGTTATGGTTTATTACTATCAAATTCTTTGTTGTTGAAATCTGTTTTTTTTTTCTTCTTGTTTATTTTGTAGCCTTGCATGCAAAAGTTCCGATAAGGTGTAACTCTATTTCACAGGAAAATAATGCTTAAAAGATGTGAAATTTATATAAAAAAAAATAATCTACTGTTCTTATGTACATAATCTACAGAGTGAACAAATATTGAAAATTGATTATGTCTCCCAAAATGCTATTTGTTTTATTTTAAATGTATCATATTAACACATAATATTAATAAAATGTTTGATATTTCAGGTTCAAGAGTGGCCCTTGTTATTTTTTTCACCAAAAAAGGAAACTTGTGGACAGAAGGGGACATTGTCCACACTGTATTTGAAAGTGATATCAAACAGGCCACTGACCCACCTGACATCAAGGTCCATGGTTCAAGGATTTATTACTTGTTTAATGGTAAGTGGTGTAATTTTACTCATAACTCATATAAATTAATTTGTTCTTTAAAGGTTACAGTTTTGAAACTTTTTATATTTCAGGTTTATGACTGATGAAGAAAACATGAAAAGGGTTCCTAGAATGTTTACTGTTTTTGGAGAAAAAATAAATAAATAAACTTTTGTTTGCTTTTGTTTATTTGCATAGAATTGCTATTTCATGGTTTTCCCCCCTTTTGTCCTGTAATTAAAACATTTAAAAAAGCATTCATGCTTCACTAATTTGTAATTGTCAAAGTATTTATGTAATAGGCATCACAAAAGATGATTATTGTCAAAGTGTCAATAGTAATATCCAGACAAAAAAAGTCCTGATTCATGAATAACATTACATTTAAATTTTGTATAGAGGAAAGAAAACTAACTATAGACCAAGAAGATACTATTTAAATTTGTTTTGCACCTTTCTGTCTTGTGAAACAAAAATAAAAAAAATACATTGTTTTTCGTTTTGTTTTTTTTTTTTAGTAATTTCCATCACTTTTTTTAAAATCGGAAAAGAAAACGAAGGATAAATTCTTTTCTACAGAAATGATATTTTATTGTTTACGAAAGAAAATTGCTCTCTGAAAACATAATAATCATTGTGAAAAAGTCAGTAAATAAGCAAAAAATGAGAGAAATTTAATGTCAATGTAACAGGCATCACTTTTTTAACACTCAACTTTAAAGACTAATAATTTTAAAAACGTGTTTGCAACTATCTTTTCCTTGTAATTTTCATAAAATCTAGGTTTTCTTTTATTGTTAACAAGCATAATTAGATAATTCTGTAGTCATTTAAATTTCCAAAGAAAATTTCCTTGTATCTGAGAAGGACCCTTAAGTTAACAACAGAAACTCACAAAGTATAAAAGCATTTCCAAAAAAAATACTAACTAGGAACATCAGAATCTGAAACCAAGTGTGAAATCAATACAAAGTATTCGATTGTTAAAATTGCTTTGTTTACATTATCTACAGAATACAGCAAAGTGGTTGAATATGGCTTTGTTATCTTTTCTCATTTCGTCTAAAAAATAACTTAATGATATAAAGAAAAATATTTTGTTAGATAAGTATGTTATCCTCCGGCCCAGTGTAAGTGATTCCTGATATACTTCAAACATCCAGTACTTTTAAGTATTCTGGTTTTTACATCCCACTAATTTTGAGAAATCCCAAAACATCTCTTTATACACCGTATGACATCTTCTGATTGAGGAAATCCCCAAACGTCTCTATATATACCGTATGAAATCTCTGATTGAGACACAACATTGTTGTGTTCTGGTTGGTTCACGTCGAAATTGAAAAGATGATATTTTCCATTCTTTTACTGCTTTTTATGTCAATGTCTCAAGTCAGAACGGGGTCCTTGATAACCGGTACGTATGATCTGAACTCTACAGCTTTGATCAATGAAAGACGTGACATCAATGAAATCGACGTTCTTCGGCAGATCATCAACCAGGAAACTCTCATCTGTTTAGCTGTGGTCAAGGATGTTAAGGCAGTCGTGGACGATGTTAGTTCTGTGAAGCGAAGCATTGCATCTACAGAAACGATGATCTTCTCTCTACAGAAGGCGCTAAATACATTGAAAAGACAGGTTGATTCCTTAATTCGAGACAATATAATACTTTAGCGGAGACGGTAGAATAATTGAAAAAAAGGTAGATATTCAGTTTAGTCAGGACACGATTTTAGCACAGAAGATAGAAAATTTGGAAAGACGGATTGATACTCTAAGTAAGGATAACGCTTTACAGGAGACGGTAGATACATTGAAAACACAGGATAATTCTTTGAGTGGGGAACAGAGAAGAGAAAACAAGTAAGGATCGACTCCTTTATGTTCGTGACTCTAGAGCAAACGCTAACCACTGCGCTACACGGCGACTGACATTAAATGAGATAAAATGTTATAAGAATCTGTAAAAAGACATGGTGGAAATTATGAAAGTTTATTGTAATTTTTCACGATACATGTTTTTTTTAATAACTTTTAATAAGTAAATTTATATTTCCGTAGTATAATGAGGACATATATTAAATGGAGTTGTTAATTTGTTGCTTGGAATTT